TATGAACGCGTAAAGATATGGCGGAATTGGTGATGATCTTCGTGAATTAGCGTCTGTTGTCACCAAGTATTAGCTATAACTAAGTTTAGCCTATAGGTGACGTTTAAAAATTGGAAAACAAAATACAAATCAGGTATAAATGTTTTAAAAATCTACTACAGATGTGCCCATTGTCCCCATACGGGGACACCATCATTTTTTCTAACTTTCCCCTAAGCGGAATTGAAAGTATAAGGATATTCTTCAATATTATTTTAATTGACACTATAAGCAAGCAATAATCACAAAAAAGTTTTATAAATCTTCATAATAACGTACTACAAAACGCCTCTGCTTTTGATAATAATTCCCATTTCACTTCCTCTTGATAAAATTGACAATATGACCCCTTTTTTGTAGTAATTTGTCAAAAGTTCTAATAATTTTAGGAAAGTACACTACTCCTCATTATAAATACCCATGAAATGTGAAGATAGCTAAAATAATTAATAACCAGCGGGTAAAAGAAGACCTGTCCCCGTATGGGGACGGCGGATCCAAATGGGTTAACTCAAGAACAGCTAAACCAATTTGATTGAAAATTGGTGGGGAGATGACAGGATACACTATATTCAAAGCTTTTCTAAAAATCCTACGGGAACTGGAAAAACGGCATTGTGCGTTCGAAATCGCGAACAGAAACTAGTTAATAATACATCAGCCTGACCTCTTATCTGTCGATATATGACATTCTGTCTCTCAGAGATCTGCGTTCTAACACTTCACAGGTTAATTAGTTAAGCTGAAGTACAAATCCATAAAAAAATATAGGTACTAAGCATAATATTTTAGATTATTCGTAAATAAAACAGTCTTACTCTTCAAAAAAAGTGTACCCATTGGTATTAGGTGAATCGTCCTCTTGTTTTCCAGCCAATAACATAAAAATAGGCCCAACGTGTGTTTTATGAAATTGGTTTCTAACATTTTGAGTCAGCAGCTCGTAAAACTAAGGTTTATGATCCACACATTTTATCGTTGATTTATAATATAGCTGTGTATAGGAATGTGTGTTTGTGTTTGTAGAGATGTTATATTTTCGTTACACAAATTTAATATTATGTTCTTCACCTCTGAATATGGGACTATAACCAAGTAGGGTTAACATTGTATTTGGTGCTATTATAAATTGCACCTTATAATTTGTAAATTGCAATTTTAGCAATATCTACAGTCTATCTACTAAGGGATAAACCCTATCAGTGTAATTTTTAATAAGGCCATGTGTTATGAATGAAATATACGGCGCAGTTACCATATAGATACAGTTAAGTAAAAATGTTTAATCAATAATACCTGTGTCTATCACTAGTCCAATAAGACACTTGTAACCACAGTAATTATTGTAGCGAGTCTTAGTTGTAAAATCTTAATAAAAGCAATTATTAGCTGCATTGTAGTGGTAATTTCAAAAGGACTCCCGGAGCACCATACTAGCAGTATATTTCTGTCTGTCCTTGTGTCTCGTGGGATTACTGTCAGAAATGGTTTTCTAGGAAAAATCGATTTCGTAACTATTAAGTATTGGTAAGATACTTTATTTTTAAGTCCCGTCCTTGAAATTCTAGTTTATACGCCTGTTTTTGCTTTGAAGGCGTTATTTAGAGGACCCTAACTATCCTACTTAATGAAATTGATTACCTATGTTAGTAAACTTAGGGCTTAGTGCTAGATTTAAGGGGTTCATTTCATTCAATGGCCCATTAGAGTTTTTTACGAACTTAATTATGTAAGTTGGGTTTACTGAAACTCAATGAACCAGACTAATTACCAACTAATAATTTAATATGTCTCACGAAAATTATAATATAATCAATGAACTATATTATGGAAACAGAATATTTAAATCATGTAAATTATATTTTAGAACAAACCTTAAAAGTACCATTACAACACTTTCATGTCATAACATAACATAACATCACGCCTTTTATCCCCGAAGGGGTAGGCAGAGGTGCACATTATGCCACTGTACAATGTAACACCCACTTTTTACTATTTATGTTATGAGTCCCATGTAATAGGGGGTGAGCCTATTGCCATATACCGGGCACAATTCCAGACTCCGTGCTGCTGCTGAGAATTAAAAAAAAACTTTCTTTCATGTCAGATTAATTATATAAAGTTTTATGTTACTAATTGACAAGGCATAGTCGATGGATGATAAAGATAATTTTTAAACGCATTGACAATCAACTTTTACTTAAAAGGTGATAAAACCAACGTCATGAAGTAAAATACCCAAGTAATAAAAAAATATGCAACCATCAATAAACAATATATATATAAAGGTAGTACAATGAAGGTAAAACGATGCGTAAAAACTACGATGCGTAAAATAGCTTGTTTTTTGCACCCGTATAATGTGTTTTTAAGACCATCCTTGCACAAATGTTTCCTTAAACCAAGACACCATATTATTACATATTCAAGCCACTTAATGTTCGCTATATCGAAATTGAAGATTTGCTGGTCATCTTTAGACAAACTGTCATATAGTGGCAATGTGTTTTGGTACACAATATTCCACTGACCTCTCACAAAGTAGGATAAGGCTATGCTCATCTTTTTCAATTTTTGAGCTAATTTTGCAAATCTGAATTGCGTAACAATATTTATTTTAATTTAGAAAAGACGATCACACAAAAAGTACAAGAAACTGGACGTTATTCTTTTCCTTTTCTGAACTCGGCAAAAAGGGTTAACACTGGTTATCAATAATAATAATAGTGATAATTTAAAATAGTAGATTAGTAAGGTTATTAATAAGGTAGTAGTAAGGTTATTTTTACATACATATGGTACATTTTCTGTATCTACAGATACAGAAAATGTCGTGTACTATTAAAATTACCTAGCTAGATCGATTTATCACTTCCAATACCCTTTGGTTTTTTATATGGGATAAGCCGGTAAAAAAGCGAATGGATCTACGAATAATAAGCAATCGGCGTCTCCCATAGACACCCGGAACATTAGAGGCGGCAGAGGTGTTACATTTGCGTTATCAAACTTTTGGGGATTAGGAATATTAGGATTGTTGGGGATTCAGGAATTGGGGAAATTGGGGAAGGGGGGGGGGATACTGGACCTCTGTCATCATTTTAGCAATCGTTGGAGCAATTCTTTTATAGAGAAGAATTGATTCTTTAAAAGTATCACATTGATAACATAACACATTACAAGATGTCGCATAACAAACCTCAGAATAAAGACTAGTCCTTACCTCCTTGTGTATCTAAAACAAGAAGCAACTGCATCCGCAATGTATGCAGGAATCATATGAAGAACCCAAGAATATATCCAAAAATGACAAGATTATTGGTGAACCATGCAAAACAGTAGCAAATCGCCATTGGTGTTTGATACATATTTCTGAGTTCTCCACACATAGTGTCACATAAAGTACCTAAAAAATATATAATTAAGAGAGCATAAAAATATATTTATATATATACTTATATATATATTCAACACCCAGCGCCATCTAGTATAATATATCGAAAACAACTACTACTACAGAGTTAGTTAGTTAGTTTATAATAAATTTATGTAACAGTGAAGTTTCCAATAAATAAATAATCATCAAGAACACCAGGGTTTTAATTTCACCAAACTGCGGCATTACGTGCCGTAATGTGCACCTCTTCCTACTCCTTTGCGGATAACAGGCGTGATGATATATTACGTGTGTAAATACACAGGTCAAACTGAGAACCTCCATTTATATTTGTTTTTGAACTCGGTTAAAAGTGATACACATCAATTACATAATATGAACATTTATTTAAAAGAAATCAAAGAAAATTCTTAAAAAGTATTACATACACAAAAGCTACAGTACTATACACAAGCTTGTATAAACCATAGAAATATAAGGGCAGTAGAATATACGTTGCAATTTTCAAAATTATATGCTTTTTGCGTGCATATAATGTGCCGGTTAGTCCATCCTTTACAAAGTACTTCCTCAGGCCAAGACACCATATTAATATGTATTCAGTCCAATCTATGTTCGTCACATCGAAGTTAAAGATCTCTCTGTCATCTTCCGGAAGACTTTCAAGAAGAGTAACCGTATTTTGGTCCTCAAATTGCCATCCATTTGTTAGGAAATAAGCCAGAACATCATTCATTCTTTGTAATTTTCGAGCTAATTTAGCAAATCTGAAATGGAACCAATATAGATATTATTTTTTTTTAGATTATCGTCGATCGCATCGTTGGCCGAGTGGTCGCAATTGCGATTGCCAGGCAAGGGGTCTCGGGTTCGATCCCGGGTCGGACAAAGTATTATTGTATTTTAAAAATATTTTAGTAGTAGCACTATCTGGAAATGTGCCTGGTATATGGCAATAGGCTCACCCCTATTACATGGTACTCATAACATAAATAGTGAAAAGTGGGTGTTACATGGTACAGTGGCATTAAGCACCGCATTTGCCTACCCCTTCTGAGATATAAGGCGTGATGTTATATGTAGATTATGATCGTAGATAAGAGTAAAGATGAAAGTAATATTATTTGCATTAATATATATGATAGTACAATAGGTAACGGAAAATAATCATATTTTCCTCGTGAATTCATAAAGTCAATCTTGGTACCACATACCTATCCAGATCCAGGGTCATGTGTAGTTAGGCTAATTAGTTTAGTATGCAGATAAAAAGTGAAAATTGGCTATGTTCAGGGACAGTGGCTATATTATAAAAGTGATTACAGTCTTTTGTATCTTACAGTCTAATTGGATTCATTCTTGTCAAAAATATTATTTGTGTTCTCAATTACCATGTGTTCATGCATTGTGTCACCACCTAGCATTATGATGTTGTCCATAAAAACTTTACGATTTTACAAAAAACATGAGTCAATCGTATGTTTTTTTGGTGTTTTAATTACAAATCTTAAAATCAAAGTAACTAAACATATTTATCGTAGTCCAAAAGTTTCAAATAAATTTACCTCATTTTGTATCCAAAAGTAACAGCAATTACATCGATAATATAAGCGGGAATTAGATGCAGAAGCCAGGTGTAGAGCCAAAACAGTAGACGATTGTACGTATACCAAACAAACCCATATCCTACTGCCTTTGGCGTTACATACTTTATGGCTTCATTGCCTAGAACATGTTCTAATGTATCTGGAAAGTAATAATATAAACTTAATATTAATGTATCATCATCATCATCATCATCATCGTCATCATCATATTTAATTAAAACTAGTAACAAAAAATTGTAAGTGTAGGAGAGTGGTGCTTCGGCATGAATGGGCTGTCACGACTAGAGTGATACCACGGCCTCGGACAGACATAAAACCGATGTGAATCAACACTTGTGTTGAGTGAGGTAACCGGAGGCTCAATTACAGTCCAATCCCTGAATCCTCAACAATGCCCAAAAGGCCGGTACCACACTCGTAATGCCTCTGGTGTTCCAGGTGTCCATGGACGATTGCTTAGCATAAGGTGATCTGTCTGCTCAATTACCGGCTTATCCTTGTAAAAAACATAAAATATCTTACTCCAAGTTACAAGATTTCTAGATGATGAAGCGATTGTATAAATCTTTATTTCATCTTCATGTGGGGCTTGTCTTTTAGTCCTAGCAGTCTCCCACGCAGCAACAAGTATAGCATTGTTTACATAGTCCACAGGCACGAAATCTAACTGATTATTTGTTCTGACGTATGAAGCGTGCAATACACCTAATCCCACTGCGAATAGAAACTGAAAACGTTCATCAGACATTAAGTAATAAATAATGATATAATAGTCATTTAACTGTAATTTATACTAAGTGATATTGTTTTTAATTATGATATTTAAAAATTAAAAATGATCAACAATGGCAGATTAAGGTGAATAGAATTCAAGGGGTGAATAGAATAGATACAGAAAAGGGGGTTTCTTCATGCTTTGAATTCTGTTTACTCCGTTTTATGGAGTCAGTTTTAACGCTGACATGCTTTTGTTGAAGGGCTACTATTACTGAGTACAATATCACGGTTTCTACCCTTAAACTAACAAAATTTCTTTTCGGATCAACCACAATGATAATAAATGGCAATAACTATTAATAATATATCATGACTATTGTGAAACTTACTCCACTGGCGCCATATAAACAGGATATGTCTAACCAACCTGGCGTTGGTTCTCTCATAGTGGCCACTACTGCAATAAGGAAAAATGTACTTTAATATTCATCATAATCAGCCCGTATTCGTCCACTGCTGGATATGGCCTCTCCATTGGCACGCCACTGAGCTCGGTTTTCAGGTCGGAGTCAGCAGGGATGTGAGGGGTACGACACCATCTCAGTGCCTTAGCCAATCTCACCTGAACCACCACTAAATTAATAGTACCCTAAACCGACGATTGATGACTGTTGATGAAGCGAAAGAGGTATGTAGGAATCGTAGTAATTGGCGTCCCATAGTCTTTGCTTACCCCATGGGAGACAGGCGTGAAGTTATGTATGTATGTATATTTAAAAATCGCTTAGTTGTTCGGTCAACTGGGCGATTTTTTGGTTGCAAGTGCGATTGTTGAGCAAGGGGTCTCGAGGTTGGACACAACGTTACTAGGATAAAATTCTTAGTAGTAGCAAGGAGTCTGGCATTGTGCCCGGTATATTGCAATAGGATCACCCCCTATTAGAAGGGACTCATTACATAAATAGTGAAAAGTGAACAGTGGCATTAAGTGCCGTAATGTGCACCTATGCGTACCCCTACGAGCAAAAAGTATAATGTTGTTATGTCATGTATAAAAATTGCTTACCAATTGCCGGTCTAACCACACACATCGGGAGATCTTTCCCCATATCTTTAACCAGACTCTCAGCGACCGCCTTCGTAAACGTGTACGTGTTAGGCCAATTTTTAATCATACTGAAATAAAACAGTTTTCATTTATTGCGGACATAATTTCGATATAAAACTCTTTAGAGTAAAGAGTTGTCTTTAAGTCCAATACCAAGACAGATCGAAAGTTGCAAATCTGGTCCAAAAACCAAAATAGAAGATTTACCTATTGTGATAAACTTATATAAGAGTGTGTCACAAAAAAGTAGTATTGAACATGATTAATGAGTTTAAAGAATCATGTTATCATGGTTGGTAGCAAATTTTGTGAAATTTTGTACTAGCTGGTCATCATCACAAATGACCTACACGATATTCTCCTATTTGAATACATTAAATACGACTATTTCAATGTCTTCCAGATTGACCAATTCTAAACGATTTGTATCCAGCGGACCCATACGACTTTAATATTTCTAATTGTATGCTCATCTGACCTTGTTGTTATGTCGTTTATTATTTCGTCTTCCATAGTTTCAGCTATGCCGACCATGGTTTCTGGACTTAGAGGACTAGGATAGAACTTTTCCTGAACTGTATCATCAACGCGATCCGCACTAGCATGTGTATAAGCTGTAGATACGTAAACGAATGACCTGAGAATGAACAAACAAATCATAGTTTAAATTATACGTGGAAGAACATGCAGATTTTAGATGATATTCTTATTTTTGTAAATTCATTTAAAGGCCATCAAAAACCATCAAGGTTTATAAAAAAGACTATGTAAGATTTTGGGTTTAGGCCTCATTACAGCTTTGATAGTACACTCCCTGAACAAGTTAGATTGCTGCAAAGCAATTGCAATAAATCCTTATTCAAAATTTGATGTACCCTAAAGATGCTCTTAAATATTTAGTATTTAGGGCTCTTACGAAACTGCGGTGCGACGTCGCATTGCAAATATATGCGAGCTCCCTCTACGCATCGCAAGAACTTGCGAATTGATTCGATTCAAAATCTTATTTTCCCAAAATCTTCATTGTTTCTTTTTTCTGTATCTTCTAAGCAATATCAAAAGTGCACAATTTTTTACGATCCATGTCACGACCTAGTTTTCAATTTAAAATACGTTTAATGCGGTTGACGGTCGTCAAAGGAATGGTCGCCCTTTTTTTTTTTTTTTTTTTTTGAGGGGGGAAAATCATCCAATGACTTCTCCCGCCTGGGCGAGGCGGAAGGGAGTGTCAGACTCTTACTGACTAAAAACCACCCCGTTCCTACACCTGCACTTCGAACCGGAGCCCCGGCAACCCGGCAACCGAATGGTCGCCCTGGGGAACGCCTTGTCACATCGCATCGTAGTTTTGTGTATGAGCCCTTAATTGTATTTAAAAACTATACTGTACTACACACCTTAACTTTTTACAAGCCTTGCTGATGTCAAGCATCTCCCTCGTACCCCTAACATTAATGAAGGTAGCTCTCTTGAGGGTTTCGTCAAATCTAGTTGTGGCAGCCAAATGGAATATTATGTCCACCTGTATATGAAAATAATTGTCATTGTATATTAAACTTTGTTTGTTTGTAGTTAGTGGTTGTTTTAATGTGATTTTCATACGAGACACGGGTTTACATACATATGTATAACAAATACCTTTGTGTTAACTTTAGAAGTATTTATCACTTCTTTTAGGGCCTACCGTTATAATGTTTTTATAATCTTATGTAGGTACCTAATATCTAATGAACATATCTAATCATGCAAGATTCTTAGGCAAGTAAAGAATCAGTGAACATAACATCACGCCTTTTATCCCCGAAGGGGTAGGCAGAGGTGTACATTATGCCACTGTACAATGTAATCACCCACTTTTCAGTATTTATGTTACGAGTTCCATGAAATAGGGGGTGAGCTTATTGCCATATACCGGGCACAATTTCAAACACCGTGCTACTACTGAGAATTAAAAAAAAGAAACAATAATACCTTGCCCGACCCGGACACCTGAGCCGAGACCGTCGCATTTATGACCACTTGGCCAACGAGGCAGTCGGCAGGCGTATCAGTGAACTCGCTAATTCATATATATTATTATATCACAAACCTCATCAGCAATAATGTTCCAGTCTTTGTCACACATGCCAAGCTTTAGTTCCGACACGTCTCCTGCCATGGCTACTATTTTGTCAACAAATCCTGGCTGCTGTTCTCGAAGCGTGTCATACAGCTGAAAAATACACAACATCATGTTAAAACATTACGTTTAAATAGTATGCAAGAACATGGTACAAGGTATTTATGCTACTTTATGCAACTGATTTGGTTCCTTATTCATTTGCATTTGTATTTTATTGGATTGCACCTACATAGTACATCTTGATAAAATTTTGCTACGAATATTAGAGGTATAACTGACATACATTTTTCTAAGCAACATCGTCATCCAAACTGGGTAGTTTCCAGGGTACCAAAATTAAACATCTAGTTAGTTCGTCAGTTAGACAATGAAAAAATATTAGACACGTATTTTTTTATTTTGTCGTATTAAGTTGCAATACTTAGATAAAATGGCACTAAGTTTAGAAGTGGGAGATCACACGATATTTCAAATTAGTATATCGTCGAAAGTATTTAATTTTGTGAAATAAGTAAAAACATGTGTCTAAAGTTTTAAAGTAATGTACCAGACGCACATTAAAATAAAATTTAGGAAACTACCCTATTACATCTACTGCAATGGATTTCGCAGTCAGCTCATTACATTAAAGAACATGTTTGTCCATGCGCGGTAGGTCCTCATTGTCTTATCTAACCCCAGTTGAATATAGAAACAAAAAGCTATCCATTATTCTAATAACTCATGTTCAAATTATCGCCGTTATGAGAAGTCATTGCGATACCGTGCGTAAACATGACAAGTCAAAATAAAGTTATAACAAAAGAATTATTATGCCATAAATAGTAGTTCAATGTATTACATAAGCAAATACATTACAATTATTTAAATACGTGTATAATTTTAAGCAATCGATTTTAATTAAATTTAGTGTACACTGGTTTAATTAAAAAGGGAAGGTATTTGTTTTTTTGTTGATTTACATTGAATGGGCACTGAAACTTCTGAATTGTTTTGGAAAATTTCTTAACAATTGGAGTCTATTTCTTCTACATAGACTACTGTTATCTCAATTTTCGTACTGGTTTTTTTAAGGCGGGGTAATCAAAACCACACCGTTCCTACTCCTGCACTTCGAGCCAGAGCCCCGGTAACCGATTAAGTTCTCCGCGGCTCTATTTGTACAGGATAAGAACCCACATAACATAACTTAACATTCACGTTTTTATCCCCGATGGGGTAGGCAGAGGTGCACATTACGGCACATTGCACAGTGGGATATAATGTAACACCCACTTTTCACTATTTATGTAATGAGTCCCATTTCCTAGCGGGTGAATCTATAGCCAAATACCAGGCCCATGTCTAGAATCCGTGCTATTACTATTTTTTTTTTAAACCTTTTAAATATTTGTCTGGCCAACAAAAAGTACTTCATATTTAAAGATAACTTTAAAATAATGCTATTATTATGACCAAGATACTTACAGGATCTGTTAACATTTCAAGCAACCTCTGCTGTACAGATTTTCCCTTCTTGCATCTAAGTAAGACGTAAATTTTAGATACTTTCGTCGCTCTGAAATCAACAACAATAAGGAATATGACACAATATTGTAAATAAAAATAATTAATAATTGTGTATAATTTTATACTGCATAGAAATTCATAATTTTGCATAACTGTAAATACGTACATAAATTATATAAGATGCATTAAATAGTATAGATGATCAATGACTTTAATTTTTTTGGGTTTTTAGCACACAATTAAAATCGTCTATTGTTCTTCAAAATGGTGGTTTTGTACTTCAACACGCACTTGTAATATCAGAAGAGCCTAGTACACAGTGAACGTAATGATATTTTAGATAGGTACTTCATAAATAAGGATTATTAAAAAAGCCAAAAAATTATGAAAACTACTTTATCCCACCCATTGGACGTTGTGGTCATTCATCTCAAGAATTATTTTTTTTCATCTCAAGAAATTCAATTCAATTCATCTCAAGAAATAGCCAAGGGATTCGTGTTTAACATGACATCAAAGCAAGCCAGCTGCAAGCTGAGCGAAGGCATTTTCTCACACGGAGAAGGTTTGAGCATTAATCATCAACAGCCTATAATTCCCTACTGCTGAACAAAGCCTCTTCTCACACGGAGAAGGTTTGAGCATTAATCACCACGCTTGCTCAATGCGGGTTGGCGATTACGAACTTATAATTGGAAATTATAAGCCCAGGTTTCCTCACGATGTTTTCCTTCACCGTTTGTCAGTGGTGTCTGAATAATCTAGGAAAGTACATATAACTCGGAAAAAGTCACATCGGTACTTGCCGTTGGTAGGTTTCAAACCCGCACCCTCATGCATGAGAAGAGGGCGTCTTAAACCTCCGGGTCACCACGACGGTTTGAGCATTACCTGATCATAACGCTTGCTCAAGCCAGGTTGCTAATTTGCGATTCACACTTACCTTAAAAGTTTTTCAATGAGCTGCTTTCCCAGAAATCCTGATCCTCCAGTCAGGAATACGGTAGCTCCGCAGTAAAACTGCTGCACGCTGGAAGTTCCACGAGCAGTTATGTCATGCAACGGTTTAAACCGGTCAGTTATCTCCGCCATGAAAGATTGCGCGGGGTCCAATGTTTCCGTTGCCATAGTAACTCAGGTAATGCTAAAATTATTAAGATTAATAAGATTTAAAAAGCTTTTCACGAAAGTGAGGAATTGATTACAAATGAAATTGTACTTATTATGTAGATAATGGAACTACTAGAAATGCTTTTTGAAGGAATTATTCACTTTCATTTTATAAGCATTGCCATTCAACGTGGCAATGCTGCCAGTCTTCTGGGAATGTTCCCCGGTGATAGTGATCTGGACGAGTACTGTGACGCCTAATTAAGGGTATATTTTTTGTTGTATTTTGTATACAACATCACGCCTTGTATTCCCGCAGGGTTAGGGAGAGATGCATATTACGGCACTTAATGCTACTGTATAATATATAGCATCCAGTATTCACTATATATGTTAAGTGTCCAATGTAATCAACCCGAGACCTCTTGCCCGGCAGTCGCACTTACGACGACTCGGCCAACGAGACGGTCACTAGTTTAGTTGTACTTAATTTCACGTTGTAAATATTTTTGTTAGTTATATTATACATCATATTATGATAAGACTTTTATAAACTACATTTGTATACTTTTATGTATTTTTCGTAAAGTAAAATAATAAAAATAAACTCACATTTTCAAAAATATGACACAATAATTTACTCCGTTTAAACACTGGTATAATAATGAAAGATCACGAAACAATAATGCGGAATCGTTCCTACCTAGATATATTAGTGCCGAAATATAATTTATTCCCAGAATTTAATACAATAACACAATACGCCAAAGTACATACATATTTTTATATACATATGTGTACATAAAAAGCAACTAATGAATTCCACAACTAAAATGGATTTCAGTATGAAAAAAAAATACATTGCATTAATTCATTGATGTCAGGACAAAGTTGATTTATGGTCACTTGCACAACATTCTAAGAACAGGTCTAGAGTCAAAGGGTCGAATTGAGTTCATTCATCTGTAGTAGAAAGTTTACAGATAACATGGACACCTTTAATAATAACTATCGTGACACATTAACAAACTCCTAATCCCCAAAAAGCCGGTAACGCACTTGTACGCCTCTGGTGTTCCAGGTGTCCATAGGCGACGCCGATTGCTTACCATCAGGTAATCCGACTGCTCGTTTACCAGCCTATGCCATAAAAAAAATTAAACTAAAAATTGCGGATTACTCACGACAGCTTTTTTCAGTATACTGAGAAAAACTGTAGGTTGAGTGACATTGCCGCGACTGCGCACACATTAAAGAAAAAATTAAAATTAGAATTTTTTATTAAATATTTTTTTATCCATAATTATTGCTTTTTAATTTTCCTGATTTTTTTTTACATAATAAAGTGTAAGTATCTTTAACCATTAAAATTAATTGGATATTCCTATTAAAACAATCGTTAACATGATACCAAAGCATGTATTCAGTCCATTTTTTAGGTGTCTAGGGGGGGGGGGGGGCTGTAAAAAATATTGGACCATTACGACTCCTAGCAACATTCACAATCATAATCTGCATGCTTTTTCGAGTTCAAACCCGTACACCAAATGCGGTCCTCACTTTTTGCATACTCAACTGCACCTAGCGCCTGGAGTGTCATAGTAAATTTTGGGTTCGTCGGACATTATATTGAGCTGCATCAGGGATAAAGGATTATAAAGAAAAAATACGAATTCAATTAACTAAATACATTTGATTCAAGGATTACTGGACTCTGCCTGCGGCTTCATTCACACTCTGTTAGTAGGCTGACGGCACAATTTACAAAAAATAATTGAAATGATGCATGATTTTTTGCTGATCACAAAAAATGTGTATTCCACCTAACCTTTCCACCTTATAAATTGTAAAATGCTTCATGCATGTTTCAGGGAAGTGCGGTATCAAAGAGACGAAAGGTAGCCTATGTAATCTCTCTTCATCCTTTCAACTATCTCCACTCGAAAATTCCTTCTAACTCCATTCTTCCGTGAAAGAAGGACAAACAAATTGACTCACACAAATTTATAATATTAATATAGATTTCAGTGTCATCTGACATTTGTTTGACAAGTGAGTTTACAAAGCCAATTTCAACCAGAAGTCACTATTTTACATGAACAAAGTTGAGGGTGACAGCTAGTGTAAAATAGAATAAAAATATAACACGACCTTATTTTACAAACCTTTATTTAAAGAGTAAGAAACACAAGCAGAAAATGTTGTAAATAACACAATATGCAAACTTAAACACACAATAAAAATATAGAGGCAATACAATAAAAGTTATGATTTTCAAAATCATTTGCTTTTTGCGTCCGTATAAGGTACCACTTAATCCATCTTTTACGAAGTACTTCCTCAAGCCTAGACACCATATTAATATGTACTCAGTCCAGTCTATGTTTGTCACATCAAAATTGAAGACCTCTCTATCATCTTTCGACAAACTGTCAAGGAGCGCTGATGTATTTCGGTCTTCAAATTTCCACTGATGTGTTATAAAATGAGATAACACTAATGTCATTTTTGTCAACTTTTGAGCTAAATTTGCGAATCTGAAATAGAAAATAATGTGTTTTAATTTTTCCTTTATATTGATAACGAGTCAGCGTTTGGCCATTATCGCTCCGGTCTGTAATAGAGTACACCAGCCCATAAGCACTCTGTTTTATCGAAACTTAAGAAACTAAAAATTATTTACTTGTCAAATTTAAAATGCCACAAATTATCTATAATACTAAATGCGGCCCTGTGTAAAAAAGTTTTAAAATGTAGGAGAGCCATGCTTCACTAATGGCACTCGACCGGAGTGATACCACGACCTCCAGAAAACCGATGTGAAACAACGCTTGCGTTACGTTTCGTCGTGTGAGTGAAGTTACCTGAGGCCCAATTACCCCTCCCTTCCTCAATCTCCTGTGTATCTGAATCTCCAACAACCCTCAAATTCCTAGTCCACAAAAGACCGGTGATGCCGTTGTAACGCCTCTGGTGTTCAGGGTGTCCAGGGGCGACGCCAATTGTTTACTGGTGATCTATCTGTTCGTTTACCGGCGTATCCCATAAAAATAAGAATAAGGTTATTAATAATATAATTTTACCTTCTTTTCTTTCCAAAGAGAACAAGTATTGTATCCACAATATATGCAGGAATGAGATGAAGAAGCCAGGCGTAGATCCAGTATAGTAATCGTACAGACGTGCACCATGCAAAAGTGTAGGATACGGCGTTTGGCGTTGGATAATATCTTGCTTTATTGGCTAAAATTTCTTGGATACCACCTTGGAAAGATCAATTGAAAAGGCAACTCGAGTTTTATATTATAAGAAACTTTTCATATATATAGAGTTTTTGGTGCATTGTGTGCCAACTTGAAATGGTCGACCTTGGGTCTTGATTAACAATCCTATCTAATTCACAAAGTTAGCAAGAGTATGGCCTGGAGAACCGTTGAGGAAATTGGAAGATCCCGGTCGTTTTTTATTTTCTTTTTGTAGTCATATAAATAACTGTAACATATAAAAGCTTTGCGAACCAATTAAATCAAAACAAGGTGATTAATGTCACTAATTTTGTATTTAAATGTACTCTTCAAAAATATACATCAAAATAAAATCTAAATTCAGAGTCAACGCCTTATACTTTTTTAATATGTATTTGAATGTATGGGTGTTTTTGTAATAAAACAATTAAAACGTTAATTAAAAATCCACAGGGTATGAGGGGTGTTAAGGGGCCAGAAGCGGTATCAGATGACCTCTTCTGACGACTATTTCAATTTGGCACACGATGAACCAAACACCTTATATTATTTTATAAAAAAAACAGTATAAACATCTTGGGTAAAATAATGGGTGAAAAAAATAATTGTATAAAATTGTGACTTACTCCAAGTTATTGGATTTTTAAAAGCCGAAGCGATTGTATAAATCTTAATTTCATCTTTTTGTGGTGTTGAACTTTTAGTCCGAGCCGTTTCCCATGCAGCAGCAAGTATGGTATTATTTACATAGTCCACGGGAATGACATCCACTTGATTTGTATGATTACCGTAAGCTGTGTGCGCTACCCCTAACCCGACAGCGTACATATACTGAAAATTAGTCATTAGATTAGTTGTCGTTTTTAAGACAGCACATGCATTTAAATTCAAGTGTGTTAGAAGGTCTTGCGTGTAATTTGTTTAAACAACACAAACAACATGTGTTGTTGTTTGTGTTGCACGAAAATTGTGGTGTGAATTATTATCACGCCCTGTCTTGGAACCATATATCCAGCAGCATGTGGTACGGTGTATTCCACTTTGTTCACCTCGGTGAGGTAACCCAGTGGATTCAGAGAAGACGGTAACACAGTGATCACGTGCTGCCGTACAATTACTGCTCAATGAGACCCAAGGAAGACGCGCGTCTCCCTAGAGATGTGTTACAACAGGCGTTGTACTATGCGGGCTCCGGGGCAGATCTGCTAAAGGACCCGGTGTCCCTTACGATACTTAAGATAGCCACCGAGGTGGTTTTAGTGAGGTAAAAATCCCACACTCCTAGTCTTTCGTTCCAAGAAGCTTGGCGCCTATAGAATGGTACTCCCGTCATCAAAAAAAAAAAAGAATTAAAACGGTGACATCACTGAGGAGACTCTGTGATGTCCTTATTTAACTTGGAAATGTATCACCCAGGTGATAATTACCTAGAAAACTGAGATGATGAAGAGAATGATAGGACTTAAGTTTTTACCTTTGTTGACCCAGGTACACTTAAGTAACATTTTCATAGCTAAATGATGTAGCGCTCGACACGAAAAATGTGATTAGGTTAGAACTCCCATATATCCCCAAGCGGTCACCGGTGACCGCTCTCCACTAACTACATTATAGACCTTATTTCCAATGTATAGAGACTACTTCTGTATTGACATATTTAGGGGATAATTTTCAATAATTTACAACAGGTTAACACGTCGTCGTAATAGTCGTGGTGGCCCGGAGGTTTAAGATGCCCGCTTCTCGTGCATGAGGGTACTGGTTCGAAAACTACCAACGGCAAGTACCAATGTGACTTTTTCTGAGCTATATGTACTTTCTAAGATTATCTAGACACCACTGACAAACGGTAAAGGAAAACATCGTGAGGAAACCTGAGCTTATAATTTCTAATTATAAGTTTGTAATCGCCAACCCGCATTGAGCAAGCGTGGTGATTGATGCTCAAACCTTCTCCGTGTGAGAAGAGGCTTTGCTAAGCAGTGGGCATTTATAGGCTGTTAATGATGATGTTAACGCGTGAGGCGAGCATGGCGCGACAGCGTTTGCCGACCTTCTGCTACCTACTTTGCTACTTCAGTGATAGTCGTTCAGGTGTACTTAGCGATATAAATCTGAGGCCTAACAACAGTGTTACTAATTTGCCAAAGTTCAACGTAGAGTGAGTATGTCGTACTGTAATACTTACTCCACTGGCTCCATATATGCAAGATAAATCTACCCACCCTGGGTTTGGCTCTCGTATTGCGCACACCACTGAAACAGAACATTGACTAGTTTTATTCACAGTTTTAACAAACTACTAAAGCCTTCATACAAGTAACTATAATTTTATTATATTGGAAACTATATAAAACGCTTACCGATTGCCGGTCTGACTACACATATCGGGAGGTCTTTACCCATCGTGTCAACTAGCCCTTCAGCGACCGCTTTTGTGAATGTATACGTGTTAGGCCAACCTTTTATTAGACTGGAAACATGAAATACTGATGATACTTTTCTTGTAATTTAACATTATTGATACAAAATCATACCTGAATGCAAAATTATAAAAAATAACATTGGTAGTTATTTCTATATTGACAGTATTTGCCCTAATGACACTTACGCCGAACCCATATTAAGGCAGCGTGTCTTGTGTCAGCGATGATCCGAAAAAAACAACAGGGTAGATGACAGTTTTTTATTTTAATGTCAGTCTGATATCTAAAAACATTGCACCTAATTATTTTTTTATTTTCTAACAGAAATAAATACTTTAGGCGATATATAGATTTGAAATATCGCTTGACGTCACTTCTAGAGACGTTTTATACTTAGAAATGACGTAACTAGTTCCCACTTCCTAAACTTTGATTTTATAAAAAATACGTGTCTAATATTTCGTACTACTGCCGTACAAATTGCACATCGCAGACGCAAGACACGCCGCGGTAACATGGGTTTGGTGATACATACCTACAGTGTTATTACCTCCTTGCTGGTCACACAGATTTTTACTCACAGATAACTGTTGAACTACGTTATTAATTTATTTTATCTTACTTATCATCATGTTATTAATTTATTTTTGAGAATTTTATAAAGAATTTAATGTTATTGGGTAGCTATTAAACCAAGAAAGTTTTTCCAATAGTTTGTACGCTTAGTGTGATATATATTTTTTTAAATAAATCCAGTTTTCTATTGACCAATTTATTGCCCTATTAGAAGCGGGCATCAAAACCTACCAATTTAGTAAGTACCAATGTGAATTTTTAGGAGTTATAAGAACTTTGTAAAATTATCTAGACATCACTAACAAACGGTAAAGGAAAACATAGTGAGGACAACCTGGAATTATAATTTCTAATTATAAGTTTTATACTGTCAACTCACATTGGCGTGGTGATTAATGCTGAAACCACTTATAGACTGTTGGCGTGACGTGACATGAATGACAATGATATGATTATGACGATATCAATATGATCACCATCAAAATCTATATTATGATAATGATTATTTTCATCACAGTCTCAAAAAGTGTGGGTGTGATACCACGGTTTTACAGAAAACCGACTTGAAGCAACGCTTGCGTTGTGTTTCATCGTGTTAGTGAGATTACCGGAGGCCCAGCTACCCTCCCCCCTTCCTCAATCTCTCCAATCCCCAAATCCCCAACAATCCTCAAAGTCCTAATCCCCAAAAGGCCGGTAACGCACTTGTAACGCTTCTGGTGTTCCAGGTGTCCATGGGCGACGCCGCCTGCTTACCATCAGGTGATCCGTCTGCTAGTTTACCGGCTTATGCCACAAAAAACTCACTTTGTTGTTATGTTTTTTATTCTCTCTTCCTCCATGGATTCAGCTACATCGATCATGATTTTAGGATCTATTGGAGGAGTATAGAATTTTTCCAATATTTCACCGTTTACATATTCATCGCGCGCTTGAGAAAAAGCTGTTGATACATAAACAAATGACCTACAAGAAAAGAAAAGCCATAGGTAAATAAATTAACGAATAATATTATTTTATTTTATTTTGACGGCGATAATACTAATGTATGTTTACAAACCTTAATTTTTTACTAGCTTTCCCTAAAGCAAGTATTTCTCTTGTACCACGAATATTGATAAAAGTAGCTTGCTTTAGTAATTCGTCAAACCTTGTCGTGGCAGCCAAATGGAATATTATATCCACCTGCATATTAAAATTGTATTAGACAAATATTTTTGTTTTAAGTTTTCATGAACAAAGAGTATAAAACCTGGTTTTCATTTTCAATATAAGCCTTGGAGAGTCTTAGATAATTGGAGCCTTTATGGCACTTAATGTGCTGTGTATTATATTAAACTGTCAAACACCAAGCGGTCACCGGTGACCGCGACCCATTGTTCTTTAATTGTGTCTATAAAACCGGTACTCGACGAGTTAAATCTCATATATTATATATATTATATAAAGCTTAAGAGTTTGATTGTTTGAACGCCCTTATCTCTGGAACTACTGGTTTGATTTCAGAAATTATTTTAGTGTTGGACAGTAAATTTATCGAAGAAGGGTTTAAAACATAAAACATAATGCTACAATCAATAAGAGCCGAGCAAAGTGGTTGTAACCGCGCCGAAGTCACTAGTGTATTATAATCATACTTAATTATTATCGCATAGATTTATTTTATAACCAACCTCATCAGCAATAGTGTCCCAGTCTTTATCACTTAATCCAAGCTTTAGTTCCGACACGTCTCCTGACACAGCAATTATTTTGTCAACAAATTCGGGCTGCTGTTCCCAAAGCGTGTCATATAACTAAAAAAATAACACCATTAATATAGCTACTATCAAAGAATAAAAAGAACTATGTAAAATTACTTAGATACAATTAAATTATGACTTACAGGATCTTTCAACATTTCCACTAGCCTCTGTTGTACAGATTTATCTTTCTTGCATCTCAGCAATACATATATTTTTGTGACCTTAGTAGCTCTGCAAGGAAATGATTGAAAAGAGAATGTAACGCTGGTTTGGATATGCAGAAAGGATGGATGGAAGTAGAGTAACGAAAGAAATATACAGAAAGGATATGAATGAGACCGTCGGTAGAGGGCGCCCTAAACGAACATATACTGATCAGATTGGCGATATATTAAAGAAAGGCTGAATTAAAAGTTCCCTTAACCGACGAGCATGCATGAAAAGATTGATGACTGTTAATGAAGCGAAAGAGGTATGCAGGAATCGTAGCGATTGGCGTTCCATAGCCTCTGCCTACCCCCATGGGAGACATGCGCGAAGTCATGTATGTATGTAAAAGTTCAAACTCATTTCATAAACAAAAAATGAAAAAGGGAGTTAATTCTACAATTATCAAAATCTGGTTCAGCATACTTATGAGTCGATAATTTTTGAATTAGTTTTTACGTTAGGACCATGCGATTAAGAAGGTTGCCGAGATATTTATCTTTGGACTTTACCTTAAAAGTTTTTCAATGAGCTGCTTTCCCAGAAATCCTGATCCTCCAGTCAGGAATACGGTAGCTCCGCAGTAAAACTGCTGCACACTGGACGTTCCACGAGCAGTTATGTCATGTACCGGCTTGTATCGGTCAGATATCTTCGCCATGAAAGCTTGTGCGGGATCCAATGCTTCCGTTGCCATATTTTGCCAACTATAAATATATAGATAACTATAAACATTTAATCTTACTTTTTATTATTAGTTTAGTCATAGATATTATTCGTATTGGACAGTAATTTTAGTCTTTTAATAAACAAATAGTTTAGTTTAAAAAAAAACACTAAAACAGAGCTCCGATTTTGAATCTTGCGCCAATCGATACTTTATTAATAAAAAACTTTGAAACCTTTTTTGACCACTTATATCACAAATTTATATTGAATTTAAAAATCTTATTTATTTTATCAAAAATAAAACTCACTTAATTTAAAAATGTACACAACAATGTTGATCCGCTTTAACACTAGTTATCAATGAAATTTAACAAACGAACTATGCAGTGTACTTTCCAATAAATTAGTTATGTTTTATGTTGTTTAAAGTAATTACTTATTCATGGAAAAAACCTAATGTAAAACTAAACATGCGCTACTAGTAAATTATATAACACTAATTAATTCTATTTAACAACGATACATAATATTACATGTAAATGTGCTGTTATTTTGTTGTAACTATTATTTTTAACTCCATTTTTAATATAAATAAGCTTTTGCGCGCGACTTAATCCGCGGATTATTAACATCAGGAAGCATTTAGATTTTTTGACTTGTCCCATACTCCAAGGCATACTTCTATGTACCTCTATAATAATAAATTCCATTAAGTCAGTAGGTACATTAGTTTTATTTTACTGTAATTTTCTTAAAGATTACGTGGCTAAAAATGCATAATTGTAGTTCTAAGTTTTACCCACGTATGCAGGTCTTATTTGCGTAGAATTTCTACGTAAAAAATTTGTAATCTGCATCAAGATATATCTTATGCTTGTCTAAGTAATTTCTCGAATCTTAAACTATCGTTGTATGGAATTTCAGGCAAATAGATTCAGTAGTTTAAAAGAAATGGCATCCCGGGACTTTACGCATAGTTCCCGATCCCGTAGGGCTTCTGGGATAAAACTTGTAAAGGTTCTTTTTCGGTCTCAAACTATCATTGTACATACAAGATTTCAGTCAAATAGGTTCAGTGGTTTAAAAGAAGCGGCGTCCCGGGATTATGAGGCGTAGTTCTCGATACCAGGGGTTTCCGGGATAATACTTATCTAGGTTCTTTCTCAGCTTTCAAACTACAATTGTACAAAATTTTAGTCAAATAGGTTTAGTATTTGGAAAGAAATGTTGTAATCCCGGGAATTGAACGCCTTGTTCCCGTTCTTGTACATTTCATTAACACAAACCTCTGTGAAACCAAATTTCAATAAAAGACCAGTAGTTTAGGAGACAGAGAATCCCGGAATTTTAACGCTGTACTGTCGTTGTTGGAGATTTTCCGTGATAAAAATTATCCCCCGTCCTTTCTCGAGTCTCCAACTATATCTGTAGTTAAGTTTATCCAAATTGCTTTAGTGGTTTAGGCGTAAATAGGAGACGTGAGTTACTTTCGTGTTTATACCAATAATCTTTCACCTGGTGCTCTGCTCTTAATGGTCATAACGTGATGTGATAATTAACACAAAATAATTTTGCGGGTTCGATTCCTGCACGGGACAACACTTTATGTGATCCACAAATTGTTGTTTCGGGTCTGGGTGTCATTGTGTATGTGAACTTGTATGTTTGTAAACACACCCACGACACAGGAGAAAATCCTAGTGTGGGCAACGTTTTTTTTTTTAAAATATATAAAAAAAATAATACAATCGGATGAATAGTTCTAGAGGTCAGCGCGATCAAACAAACCAACTCTTCAGCTTTATGTATATAATAAAAAACATGTCCAAATTATTATATTATTTATTCACGAACAACAAACTGATACAATAATAAATAATGTTTTACTATGTAAACAAGTTATAACAGTCACATATTTTATAGCTCACTATATTTATACTTGTGACTAATAATATTATCTAAGTATTTCAAACACTAAAATGCCAAATAGTAATATGGTGGATTGATTTAGTTTCCAAACGTGGCAACACTATCTCTGACGGGCATTCGCGCGATTTTTGGCTTTGACAGCAACAGAAACATTGTAAAACAATATAAAACAAGTGATTACAAATTATTTTTGAATAAGTCTTCTTCGTTCTAATTAAGATCATCATCCTTCTGAGCGTTTTAAAGTAATTTATAAAAACTAGCTGACACGGCAAACGTTGTTTTGCCATATAAATAATTTCGTAGAAATGTGAAAATTGAGCATTGTATGTATTTTTGTATGTTATATCATAAAAAAATAGAAATTAAAAATGTTGTCTAAAAATAAAAAAAAATACGGGTGGTAAATAGATGTTGGCCGATTCTCATAGATACCGGATAAGCACAAAAACTTTCATCAAATCGGTCAAGCCGTTTCGGAGGAGTATGGTAACGAAAACTGTGACATGAGAATTTTATATATTAGATACATTTTAATGCTAAACGGCTTTAATCAACTCTTTTCTACCTATCAAGCCTATTTGTTCATAACCATAACGGAGGTAGTTGTGTAAAAAGATAAAAATAAAAAGATGTAGGTAAATAGAAAATAATATTGTATGTTCATCAAGATTTAAAGTGTATGTATACCGCATATCAGATCGATATATCGTCAGCAAGGGAGCAAAATTCCAATTGCTAATTTTGTCCTAAGCAAGCTAAAAATAACCACTTAAATAAAAATTGAAACAAAGTTAAGAATGTTAGTGTATTCTGTTTAGTGTATTACATTATCTGCATATTAAGAATGTAAATTATTATGATAATGAGTGCCGCCACTTAGGTACATTATTACAATGACATACATGTGTATATAATGATTAATTTAAAAAACAATACTACTTATAATGTAAGTAAATGTTTTATATATTTTATTGTAATTTATATATTAAATATAGGCCTTGGCAAGATGTTCTCAGGCAAGCTATGTTTCTATCACCTTCTATATATATATATATATAAAAGAAAGTCGTCTTGGTTACACTATTTATAACTCAAGAACGCCTCAATCGATTTAGATGAAAATTGGCATGGAGGTAGCTTAGAACCAGGAGACGGACATAGGATACTCTTTATACAATACTTTTTTTTTACTTTTTACCGAAAATCACGAACGGGAACGGTGGGGGGAGGGGACGGGATTGCGCGTACGAAGTCGCGGGCAGAAGCTAGTTACTAATAAACTAAATTACCCATCATTTTTTTAAGTTAACAGCTCAATGAAGGTCGATTTTATAATATCGTATCATATAACAAGTCCATTGTTTTTTACATCAGCATTTATTTAACTAACATCAAAGGTAATAATATTAAAAAATAAACAACAGAATATACGAGCTTTAACAAAAAATAAAAATAAATAGGCATTAATATAAACGTAAGTATTTTGAAAACTATTTGCTTTCTGCGTGCATATACAGTATCAGTTAGTCCATCTTTAATAATATATTTTCTTATGCCGTTGCACCATATCATTACATATTCAACCCAATCTATGTTTGTCACATCAAAATTGAAGATTTCTTGATCATCTTTACAAAGACCGTCATAGAGTGCTGCCGTGTTTTGGTCCACAAACTTCCAGTGGTGTGTGAGGAAATAAGACAACACTAATGTCATTTTGTTCAATTTATGAGCTAATTTTGCAAATCTGAAATACAATAGTATGATTACATTAATTTCTACTTCTATAAATTTCAATATATGAATAGGGGTAAGTGTGGGAGAGTCATGCTTCGGCACGTATGGGCCAGCTCGATCGGAGTGATACCACGGCCTCATAGAAAACCGACGTGAAGCAAGCAAGCACAAGCGACGTGCCGTGTGAGTGAGGTTACTGGAGGCCCAATTACCCTCCCCAATCCATGAAACCCCAACGATCCTCAAACTCCTAATCCGCAAAAGGCTGGTAACGCACTTGTAACGCCTCTGGTGTTCCAGGTGTCCATGAGCGCCGCCGATTGCTTACCATCAGGTGATCCGTCTGCTCTTTTACCGGCTTATGCCATAAAAAATAGGAATTAAAAGGATGCCGGCTTACATACATACATACATAACTTCACGTCTGTCTCCTCTCCCCTGTAAATAAATCATAACTATTTTTACCTTCTTTTATATCCAAAGAGAATGGCGATTGTATCTATAGTGTACGCAGGAATCAAATGCAAAAGCAAGGCGTAGATATAAAATATCATACGTTTAGAAGTATTCCAAGTAAAATTGTATCCTACGGCCTTTGGCGTTGCATAAGTTCTTGCTTTGCATTCCATAATGTTCATCAATGTATCTAGAAAAAAATAAATAAAAGTTAGTCCTACCTACCTTATTGTACGACTTTTAAGAAAAATTTGTTAAACTTACGACAAGTTATTGGATTTCTCGAAGACGAAGCAACTGTATAAATCTTTATTTCATCTTTTTGTGATGCAAAGCTTTTAGTTCTAGCCGTCTCCCATGCAGCAACAAGTATGGTGTTATTCACATAGTCCACGGGAATAAAATCCATTCGAGTTTTATATCTAATGCATGATACGTGCGATGCTCCTAATCCGACTGCATATAGGTACTGAAAATCATAAAAAGATTCAATTGGTTTTGAATAATTATATTGCTAGAAAAATTATAGAACATATGAAAATGTTTAAAATGTAACTAGTTTATTTGTAAAATGAACTTTTTGCTACGACTTACTCCGCTAGCCCCAAAGATACAAGAGAAGTCTAACCACCCTGGTACTGGTTCTTGTTTTGAGCAAATCACTGTAATAGAAACAATACAAGTATTAAATAATCTCAACAAACTTGCCGACTTCTGAATAACTGCATTCGATTGATGTCAATCTGCATAAATATAATCATGTATATTTTTCTGCAGATCGGTTGCAATAAAAGTAGTTACCCAGACGCCAATGCAGAAAGCAAAGGGCGCTAACAACTCTATTCTCCTTTCTAGACTCTCTTTCTTCACCGAATTGTCTGTTTCTTACTTCCAATATACATATATGCGCAACCACAATAAAAATCTTCGCTCTTCTCACAACCGACTTCTCCAACGTCCAATTCAAGATACTGATTTTTTTTTAATTATATCTTTTTTTCTTCTTTCCTTCTTCGTATAAACAATGCTTTCGAGAAATGTGCTCCTCCATCAATTATACCAAGATGGTGAAAAGTCGTTTAACTCTCAAGTAACAGGTTCGTGAGCTTTTCCCGTCGAAGTTGGCTGACTCATTACACTGACTATACATTGTATATGACCATGGTACGGAGCGAGAGGAGCGCGTGAGGGAACGAAACTCCTCACGCCCTAGCAGTCGCGAGAGACACTCCGGGCGTCGGGGATCGCGAGATGAACTCCGGCCACCGTAAGTACGGGCCTGCGAAAGGCGAGCACGGGTAACTCGCTGTCCATCGCGTTCCGCGCGTGCCTCAAGGAGCCATCAGACGACACCAGATGGGGTCCTATTGGACCTATTGCCCTATAGTCCTATTGAGCCCTATTGGGCTAATGCCGACACGGAGCCGTGGAAGGCTTAACGGGTTGCCGGGGTTCCGGTTCGACGTGCAAGAGTAGGAACGGAGTGGTTTTTAGTCAGTAAGAGTGTGACACTCTCGCTTCACCCGGGCGGGAGAAGTCATTCAGTGTTTTCCCCCTCAAAAAAAAAAAAAAATTGTATATGATACTTCGAAAATATTAAATAGCACTCACCGATTGCTGGTCTAACCACGCATATTGGAAGATCTTTCCCCATTGTATTAACTAGTTCTTCAGCGATTGCTTTCGTAAATGTATACGTGTTAGGCCATTTTTTGGTCAGGCTGGAAACCAATACCAAAATTATTAATGCACTATGCGAAGATGACTCTATGAAGAATATTACTAACGGATCATGATGATGATGATGATGATGATGATGATGTTGATGTTCAACTCACACTGTTGTCATGTCTTTTATTCTTTCTTCATCCATAGTTTCAGCTATACCAATCATAGTTGCAGGACTTACCGGACTTGGATAAAATTTTTCCAATACTTCCTTATTAACACGATCAGTACAAGCGTGTGAAAAAGCTGTTGACACGTAAACAAATGATCTGAAAATAAATGAAATAGAGTTTAATTTGAAAAATAAATAAAAATAATGTGAATAATTATATGAGCAGTTGTATTAGTCAAGTATGTACGTGAGTAAGCCGATAAACATAATCATTTATTTAGTATGTCTCACGAAAGTTATAACATAAATATATGAGCAGTATGTCGGTCACAGAAAAGATAATGTTTTGCCGGAGGAGATGATTTAGTGACCACAATTAAAAGATAAAGAATGAGAACAGGTGAAAGAAGGATTAAAGGTAATGCTAATAGGTGTAAATAATAAGATGATGCCATTGAAATGATTTTGAAAAAGAAAACGCACATGCTTAGTACTTTCAAATAGTGCGTTTAAAGAATAAATGTATGAAAGTGGTGGCAGTTGAAAAAAATTGTAAGAACGAAGATAAATAGAGTACGTGATTAGAAGGTGAGTTTTGTGACGGACCTAAACCATACAACAGTAAACAGTTTGATGATGAATAAATAATAATAGATATTAACCTCAATCTTTTACATGCTTTGCCTAAAGCAAGTATTTCTCGTGTACCACGAATATTAATGAAAGTAGCCAATTTGAGAGTTTCATCGAATCTTGTTGTAGCAGCTAGATGGAATATTATGTCCACCTGCATATTTAAGTATTTGATTAGATAAGTATCCATATTACTTAATGCTAATACAAAAAACCGTATTTTGTAACTAACCTCATCAGCAATAGTGTTCCAGTCTTTGTCACTCAATCCAAGATTTAGTTCTGATACGTCTCCTGACACAGCAATTATTTTGTCTACAAATTTTGGCTGTTGCTCTCGGAGCGTGTCGTATAACTAGAAAATAAATGGGACAAAATCGAGTAAACACTCACCAACACTTGAGAACTTGTATCTTTCAATAGCACTCTTAATAATTTTTCTCTATAATTTGCTCACTATCAATAATATTGGCGGTATCTATTAAGATATCGCCATTAGCATTAGCTAATGAGACTTTTTATTAATTATTATTATTCACGACATATCAACAATAATTTAAATGCTATCTTTATCTTTATACTTACAGGATCTTTAAACATTTCCATTAGTCTCTGTTGTATAAATTTTCCCTTTTTGCATCTCAGTAAAACATATATTTTGGAAATGTTAGTAGCTCTGTAATCAAAGACAATATTTTACAAAATATTATAATTCAACGATTAAGAAGGTTGCCGAGATATTTATCTTTGGACTTTACCTTAAAAGTTTTTCAATGAGCTGCTTGCCCAGAAATCCTGATCCTCCAGTCAGGAATACGGTAGCTCCGCAGTAAAACTGCTGCACGCTGGACGTTCCACGAGCAGTTATGTCATGTACCGGCTTGAACCGATCAGATATCTTCGCCATGAAAGCTTGCGCGGGATCCAATGTTTTAGGTTCCATCGTAAAAATAAGTTTAGTTGAATTTTTTAATATATTTTTACTGTGTTCACAAAATACATGCCACAACCGATACTTCTAGCGGCGAAAGATGCTCAAATAATAATGCTTTATAACTGTTGGTGGTATATTATTTTATACAAAGAAATCTGCTAAACGGAATATTACGTACAATATTAATTTAACAATAGCTCATATTAATGAAGTACACTATATTCGATTAAATTAATTACTTTTTTCTATCAAAAAAGTTCAAACATTCATGAGTCGATTGTACATACATAATATTATTGTACACGAGTGTACATACGAAAAATTACTTCTCAATGAATAGTGATATTCTAATCAAAATAAATGTGTGTATCATGTAGGTACATACTTTCATCGATATAGAGGTATAGAGATATAGAGGTCAAAATAAAGTGATATGCCAGTTTATATAATTACTAGCTATTACTCATGACTTCGTTCGCGTGAAATTATTCATATTTCTTGTTAATTTATACATACTTTTTTGACGCGACAACGTGTTGGACGGCAAGGCGTATTTGAGAGCTAGGATGAAACGGAACCTTTATTGTCTACTCAAGATGGCGACTGCGGTTTGTCTGTCAGTGTCATTAAAATGAATTAATAAAACGAAACAATCTGCGTAATCCGAATTTTGCGGATGTATTTTGTCGACTCGAAATCGATATTTTTTATGTTTTGTTATTCAGGTAATGTTTCGATCGAGTCTACCGTACCCCTTGACGAAATTATTAATATATAAGAAGATTTGTCTTAGTTATTTTGCGACTGCATTCTTTTGTGACAATATATAGGTATTACTAGCTGACCTGGCAATCTTGGCCTAATAAATCTTTTTCCCCCAACCAAATATTCACCTTTTGAACCTCTCCTGGACTTTCATGAACATATCGAGACCAAAATTAGTCAAATCGGTTCAGTCGTTCTCGAGTTGTAGCGAGACTACTTTCCACCTAGTACTAGTTTGGTGCAGATTTACAAAAATAATGATGCACGATTTTTTCTTGTGTCATTTTTATAGTCTGTTTACCACATTTTAGTTCTTTATCCTAAAAATTGCGCAATGCTGCACAGTCTACAAGGAAGTGGGGGATTAGAAAAATACTAAAGTAGCCCATGTCACTATCCGTTTCTTTAGCTAACTTCATGTAAAATATCACGTCATTTCATCGCTCAGTTTAAGCGTGAATGGCTGACAAATAACTCTTTATTGAGACACACAACCTTTCGCATATACAAAATTAATACGATAGATAAAAAGTTCACGGATCCTTACACAATGCAATTAACGTATATTTTCATATTTCTTCTCTTTCAGTATTTGCATTGATGATGTCATTCAGATGGAGGGCAATGAAGTTGCTGAAGAAGACAGCCTAAATGCTTATCACCTTGTGTAATAAAATATGTTAAGTTACTGAGTGCATACGATGTTTTTTCCCATCCTATAATATGTATAACCTACTAGCTGTGCCCACGACTTCGTTCGCGTGGAATAGTGATTTACTGCGCCTACCTCGTAGGCGATAGCGTAGTAATATGTAGCCTATATGTTGACCCGACCTATTAGTAATAATCATATAAAATTTGAAGTAAATTCATGCAGTACTTTTTGAGATCATCCCGGACAGCGGACATACATACAGACAAACAGACAAAAAATTTAAAAACCATTATCTTTGACTTCAGTATCGATTGCAGATCATGCCCCAAGTATTCTTTTTTTTTATTATTTAATGGAGACTTTTCACTTTTCGACGATTTTATTATTATGTATAGATAGATATAGATGAAAATGACCAGAGGGCTTAGTAAACCAACTCGTTTATTTTTTTATGGCATAAGCCGGTAAACGAGTAGACGGATCACCTGATGGTAAACTATCGGCGTCGCCCATGGACACCTGGAACACCAGAGGCGTTCCAAGTGCGTTACCGGCCTTTTGGGGATTAGGAATTTGAGGATCGTTGAGGATTCAGAAATTGGGTAGATTAGGGAAGGGGAGGGTAATTGGGCCTCCGGTAACCTCACTCACACGACGAAACACAACGCAAGCGTTGTTTCACGTCGGATTTCTGTGAGGCCGTGGTATCACTCCGGTCGAGCCGGCCCATTCGTGCCGAAGCATGGCTCCTCCACGCTTTAAATTTACATTTAACGAAATCGGAACGAGATCTCATTCAGCGGTCTGATTGGTTGATGGTTCATTGCAGCCAGTTTATTGCTAATCAGAAATCCGAACGTGGTCTCGTTTAAATAAACGTAAAACATACTCGTCCTGAGATACCAATAACTACAGATCTGAAGTAAAAATATATGAGATACTTAAATAATGTTATTAATATATTCGTATATAGTTTGTAAACAAAACCAATCACCCGTGATAATGCAATGTCATATTCATAAAATTGCAATTGAAATAATTCAATTACCTCAGGTATTACCTAATTGAATTATCTATCCAAATTTATTAATATAGATATTTCATTTGATTTTTATGTGTTAAGTTTTGTTGTATTGTCTTAGTCTGAATAATTATTATTAGAAGCCGAATTACTGTGCTGGTTGTTGGAAAACAGACGGGTGTATGCCGTTACTATTATTTCATTTTTATTCAAAATATTTTCAAGTTGCTGACTTCCTCGTTGGCCGAGTGGTCCCAAGTGCGACTGCCGGGCAAGGGTCTCGGGTTCGATTCCCGGGTTGGGCAAAGTATTACTGGGTTTTTAAAAAACCCAGTAGTAGCACGGAGGCTGGAAATGTGCCTGGTATATGGCAATAGGCTCACCCCCTATTACATGGGACTTTTTTTTATGGAATAGGAGGCAAACGAGCAGATGGATCACCCGATGGTAAGCGATCAGCGCCGCCCATGGACACCCGCAACACCAGAGCAGTCACAGGTACACATACTTATAACATAAATTGTGAAAAGTGGGTGTTACATTGTACAGTGGCATTAAGTGCCGAAATGTGCTCCTCTGCCTAACCCTTCGGCGATCAAAAGGCGTAATGTTATGTTATGTAATTTTACAAGTGATTTTTGTAAGATGAGTTCGTAAACACATTGCAGCATAATATGATTACATTACCAACCACTGCACATAATTGCAAACTTCGCTTAACTTAAAATCTTGGAACACAAAATCTGGACAAGATTAAATTTCCGTTCAAATTCCTGACGTAGCTAAAGATTGAGTTAGGTGATATACTGTTAGAGAAGTGATCAAATCTAACAGTTGTTATTTACATCTGAACTTGACTTCAAACGTTTGTCTTATAATATTACAATTACAATTGTAAGCAACAAGTTATGTCCAACAATGGAACCTACATGCTGGCCAATACTTCTTCTAGCGTTATCTAAGACATAAATATTAAAAACCAAATAGGTACAATTGACAAAGTTGGCGGTCGACCATCATTAGGCGATATTCGCAAGCACTCAACGCGAGCGATCACAGGGAACCCAGAGCAGTTGAGTTTACCACCAGGATTGTGTTTCAAAAGTGGACAACCGTAATATTTGCCGATGGTACATCACACATAAATATGTGTTTTATGTACTAGTGCTATACTCTAAGCTATACCCTGTGCTACTATTGTTAAAGTTTTGATATTTCCAAAAATTATTTACATAAAACCAGACCCTTTGTTCCTCGCTCTGCAATCAGACTTGCGACTACTGAACCAGGGAGGAGGTTCTTATAATTTCTATGTTTATTATAAATATTATAGAAGCTGACAGTACTGTTAAAATTGTTACCATAATCAAATAACGTAGCTAAACAATTAAACTATCCTATCAAAACAAATGAAAATAGAATCGGTATCAGCAGTTTCGATGCCGCTAAAATTTGCTACTAATTGTTTCCATAACTAGATAAAATATTGATTTACGAAAATAGTAGGGCTACTTACTCCATCAGATTGACAATGAAAAAATATTAGACACGTATTTCTACCTCTATATTGCCATATAACAAAACAATACATTAGATAAAACGAATCAAAAATTAGGAGTGGGGGAGTTAGCTACGTCATTATAAATTTTACGGGTATTTAACGTACGCAAAAGTGACGTCATGCGATAAAATATGTCAAATCAATATAATATCGTCGAAAGTATTTGTTTCTGTAAGAAAATAAAAAATACGTGTCTAATGTTTATAAATAATCTATCTACATAAAATAAAAATTAGTCATCTACTCTTTTGTCAATAATTTGAATGTTGTAGGTATACATGGTTTAACAATTAGTAATAGACATGAAAACGTTGTAATTATTGGATATCCGCCTTAATTTTACTGGGACATTGAAGTTATTCAATTGATTATTCATAGACTATTCAATTATTTGTTAAAATATATTTCTGTATACTGTACAGGTAGCGTTGAATTAATACCGTTTGCCAATTCTATAAATAGTCAAACTGACCGAAACCGAATTACATTTAGTAGAAAAGCCTTGTGAAAAACATACCACATCTAATCTAAATATGAACTTATTTATACATTCAAAGACATAAACAAAACATTCTCGTACATTAATTTAATACATACAATTTAATGTAAATGTAGAATGTACGCCATATTCGAAACAACGCTAGGAACAGACTTTTTATATGACACATTTAAAATTCGCATGAGAGCCGATTAAGCGGTTAAAATAAAATACTTTTTGTGACACGGAGCATATTTTCACTGGATGACATGTTCGGCGGCGACAGGGCTGGATTAGGATGAACTTTGTTTTGTTTTTGAGATTTTATGAGTATACCTCAGGTAGATGATGTAGTTTATTCACCTAAATACGTTATTATATAAGTGAAATGAATAATATGATGACGCAGAGTAGGTGCAATACATTTATTCGTATTTTCTTTCTTTGGATGCAATTAGATCCGACTACATATTACAGATTTGGCACAGGCTAAAGAATTCTATAATAAAACGTTTCCAACTCCAATGTCCAATTCATCTGCCGTA